GCAAAGAAAAACGAAAAGAACAAGCAAGCAAGCAGGCAAACAAGAAAAAGTATGACAATTTACAGCAAAGCGAACAGAGAGGTTTTTGATGAAATTGAATCGTTTTAAAAGCACAAAAACAGAGCACAGCAAGCAGAAGACACAGGGAGGAAGCAGGAGGGGAACGGAGCAGCTGGAGAGCGCAAGGCAGGGTAACGAAAGAGAGGTTGGAAGAGTACACAACCGAGGCCCATAACCTATTAAAGGTATATGTCCAGTACAGTGTAATGTGTGTGGACAAGGCGATTGTCACAGAGGTATCCAACCAGTCGAAGTGCATACGAGAACATGGATTGAAGCAAGGCGAAGGAACAAGACAGAACAAGACAGAAGGAGGGAAGTGGAACGACCGAGGTCAAGAAGGAAAATGGTACCGATCCAGGGAGATCGCTCCCATTTATAGCAGGTGGAAACACACACACAGTGGAGACAGAGAATGGACTATCACACTGAAGACAGGTGGAAGCGATATCAGCAATCTGTTGGGACCAACAGATGCCACAACAAGATGATACACCAAGATGGTACAGCAAGATGTTACACAGTTTTTTTTTTTTTTTTTTCCTGACATCTTGGCGTGAACCACGTTGTCAGACAAAATCTGCAACCCCGCTCTTTGCGGCCCGCGTTTTGGCGGCGCCCTCGCTCCCACCGTGTCCGCTCGCTTGCTCGCTTGCTTGCCCCGCGGACATGGCCACTGAGTCCGGCGGCGAGGATTCTTGGACCCAGGTCCGCGGTGCTAAACGCCCGAGTGCCGAGTCACCTCCAAGCAACACCACCACCTCGCCTTCCCAAACTCGTCGTTCTGCAAAACACACAAAACATGGCAGCGCTCGCCACGACCGTAACCATGTTTTCCCTGACCCCATGACCACCCCGCTTCGCCCTCACGCCCGCCACTCTGTCCCTACCGCCCGTGCCTCGTCTCATGTGCCCTCGACGTCCCCCGCTGCCGGTGCGACCGAGTCTTCGGCACGTGCCG